CGCGGGGCAGCTGCGGGGAGGCCCGCGGGGTGAGCGGGTTTCGGGCAGGCGGAAGCCCCGCACCCGCCGCTCGCGGCCCCTTTCGGGGAGCCCCGGCCGCGGCGCGGGGGGCACCTGCGCGGCCGGGCGGGCCGCTCCGCCGGGCCTCCCCGCGGGGTGTCTCGGTGTCTGTGGCCAAGCGGCCGCCGAGGCCGAAGAAAGCGGGGGGGAAACGAGCGCGGGGCTCCGCGGGGCTGCCCGGCCGGACGCCTCGGSTTTGCCCCAAATGCACGAAAAAAACGGGCAAAACTCTGAGCGTGGCGGCTGCGRCTCGTAGGCCCCTCGGGCCGCGGCGGCCCCGCGGCAGCCGCTGCCGGCCCCGGCCTCCGGCCTCCCTCGAGGCCGCGGGGCCGCCTCGGGCTCCAAGAGGCTTTCGATAGAGCCCCCCCGATTCCTTCTCCCTAGCACTAGATTGGCCTTCCAGCAAGAAATGCGGCAAAGCCGTTTCGGGCTGATCCCAGCGCTCTCCGCTCCTGTTTTCGTTTTCTGTGAATCATGGCTCCCTGGCATTTCCTCCGCTGGCGCTTATTATTAATTATTATTATTTTAATTATTATTATTTTAATTATTATTATTTTAATTATTATTATTTTAATTTGTTATTGAATATAATCCAAGAACAATATTATCACTATGACCTACGACTTCTTTTTTTTTTTTTTTTGAGGGGGGCAATTATACGGAGAGACCTATTTTTAAAGGTCGCATGTTAGTTCCTATTCGCTTTCCGTCAGGAAATAGCAGCGAGCATCTAAAATCCGTTTTTGCCGTTTGATACGTTCCCAGGTTAACTGCTGTTGCCTGCAGCGGCGTTTCGGAGCCTTCGGGGGKAACAAGCGACCGCGCGATGCGCGTACGTTATTTCTGTAGGTCAGACTTTCGTTTTTATCTGTACTGCTGCTGCATTCGGTAACTAAGCCCGTTGTTATCGTCGCAGGGCGCTCGTTTTCGTGTCAAAGAACCAAGTCCGCGATTGCTCTAGGAAAAGTGCTCCAAACGGGAACCGCGTTTGAACGGAGAAAGCTCCAAAACTGCCCTTCTGAACTAGAATCTGTCGGAACCACGATACTGGCACAACAACTCGTACTTTGAGATACCTTTATTTAAAACCTATTAAAAAGAACAAAAAAAAAA